TCCTCAAACCCGGGTCAACACAATCCAGCTAGCTGGCCGGTTCATGATTGAACCCGGTTCGACCCTCGGTCCGGTCCAGTTTTCAAAACACTGATGGAAACCGAAAATATTTTTCAAAACATTTATTACGATTATCTCGTGACATTATCTTAAATGAAGGTTGTCCATTCGAGTGGATTTCCAACGTGAACCTTCTCGATTTTTTTTGTCATCTAAATTTGTGTTATAATTACATAAAACCAATAGATATTATAATTTGTGTTTAACATCTTTCCGTTTCATATTAATTATCACTCTAGTCTTGTGCTAGCCTGGTGCTTCACAAATAATTTTAAGAGATTTCTTACGTTAAGTTTGATATTATAACAACAATTAAATCATTAATCAATGTAAGAATTAAATACGTACCTGTGAGAGGAGATAAACCCATCTCGACAAAGCGATAAAAGTGTAAATAAGCCATGAAGCCACAAGCACTAGTGGTCCAAAAAAGAACCTCCGGGACTCCAAGTTCCTCCGCAGCATCAAGGGTGAAGCTCATACTACCATCGGATAAGATACAACTCACCGGAGGAACATCATCTCCGGCGTTGATCTGCCCGAGAAGCTCCTTAAAGGGAGTGAGACAGTTCTTCATTGTGGACTCGCAAAGGGCAGTGATGTCTTGTGTGACGTCCACGTCCGTCTCCGGTAGACCGTCAGGGATGGACTCGAATCGGAAGGAAGGAAGCCCATCGAGGGCATGGGGTCCACGGGACCGGAGGAGACGGTTGTGGTTGTAGACGGTGTTGACGAAAGTGACGTGGAAGCCTCTAATGTGGAGGAGTTTAGCCACTTTCATCATTGGATTGATGTGGCCTTGAGCCGGATAAGGCACGCAAACTACGTGTGGTTTTTGTCCATTATAAACAGCATGAGATCCCATTTTCTTTCTCTCTTTTCGGCCAAGACTAATGTGTGTGTTTTTGTAATGGAGAAATTTGATTTTTCGTTGGCTTGTAAGCTTTGACATGCACCATTTTATAGGAAAAGAAAAGGCGAGACTATGTGTTTCTCGCACGTGGCGGTTGTGGACAAATCTATCTCACGTGCGAAGTTTGCCCACCTGCCATGAGCCACCTCGAGGTCGGGATTTGTCGATTTATTTGTCTAAAATTATAAGCCAACAAAAGTTAATGTTTATCTACAATCTGACCGTATTGAAGATAGAAGAAATCGGACTTGTTATGCATGGACCTAATCATTTAGGATTAGTGCAACAAACTATGTAGGTTCCTGTGCCACAATATTTCCATAAATTTGAAAAATATTAATTCTTAACCAATTCCATTTTAGGGTCGGTTAATAACTAAAAAAAAAATTAAAACATAATAACGAACCAAAAATTCTAAAATTAGTGGCTATGATTAGTAATTATGTTTTTATTTTTTTTTTGCTTAGTTTTGCTTAGTTTTGCTTAGTTATTATGTTTTCATTTTTTTTTGTTATACTTACCAATTTCCCTTCCATTTTATTATGTATAGTTACATATTAATAATGTACTCCAAACCTCAAAAG